ATGCTAGGATGTTGGACTAGGAATGCGAACCATTTTAGAACATATTCGGAAAGATTTTTGTCCCCATTGCACCAGATATATTCTATATGCCAGATAATTGGATTTATGAGATCGTAATTAATATGGGAAGCTGGCTTTGCTTTGAATTCTAAGAAAAGATTGAAGAATTCGGTTTTCGGCGGAATAGTATTTGGAGGATATGGTAGGAAATCGATATCCGCATAAGCAATCAAACCAGTATTGAATGCATTTTCTATTAAATATTGTAATTTTATCGCTTCCCCACCTAACTCAACGATATTAATCGTTAATTTACCGATATCTAACTTGAATCCCATATCAAAGTATAGGCCACCATCTGATTTTTTGTGCTTGAGAATCCATGTCTTTGATTTTTTTTGAACGCAGGCGATCGTTGCTTGGATTGTATTATACACTTCATTACGTATAAATCTTTTCTTAGAGGTGCACATGGATATTAAATCCCACCATACGAAATGATCATTAGGGTCAGAAATTCTAGGCCGACTCTGTTTCTCTGGAATTGGAAGCTTTTTTTCCCTATCTAAGGCTGTCTCGCCAATAGTAAGCTTTTTTTTGAAGGCTTTCTGGATCTGGGTTGCCTATCTTGGTTTGCTCGGTAGCAGAAAAAGCTGTAGGATTTTTTATTTCAGATAATACCATATATCACAGGCTACAGTACCCCCCTATGCACAGTACCCCTTTAAAAAAATTTATCGGAATTTTAAAGTACCCGGATACTTTACATAGAAATCTTCAATTTAAAATCTTATAATTTGTAAAATACCTGGGTTATAAATCCCGGATACAACTTTATTTATTAAAACGGAGTATTATTTATTAGTTATTCATTATTGTAATACAAATATATTTATAGTAATATACTCCTTAATCGATTCTTTATTTCTAATTATATGCAAGTTTAATAATTAGCAATTTTATTTGATAAAATGGAATAAAATAATATAAAAAAATTTACCTTATATACTTTTTTTAATTCGCTTAGTCTATNAAAATTCACATTCTACACTATAATTGCATATAACGTCCTTTTCCAAAAATATCCCGATATTATAGGGGAGGGTGTTTTAAAGTCTCCCCACAATGTAATTAGTGTCTACCCTTGTTGCTGTCTCTTATACACATCTAGATGTGTATAAGAGACAGCAATAAACTATCATGATCAAAAATACAATCATCTTCCGAACCATCAATATTTGTCGAAACTCCACAACTTTTAAAGGATCTTTGAATAAGATTTTCATCAACTTCATCCCATGACTCTTTAACCCATGTTGCGACTGTTGAATAAGAAGGTCTTTTAATCTTTCCCGCTGGAGTAAAAGTATGAATATTTGATATCATCCAATTATTATACCGATCTTTAACCTATAATTTCACTAATATTAGTAACTAATAAGAATAAAATTGAAGTAAAAAGATCGAATAATTACCTTAGATTTAAAACTCTTATTAATTGCAACGTCTAATTGTTGCAATTTGGATGTACAACCTCCAGTAATTACGGCAATGTTTGTATTTTTTTCCACAAATCGATTTTTGACAGAATTTACTATATGCCCACGAAAAGAATCTAATACTAACATAGAACGTGGATTTCCAAAACGGTTCCTTGAAGTCCAAACGTTCTCAACCCACCACAACATTTCCTGTTCGTTAACCCACCCTTTTTCATTAGCTCTTATGTAAATACCGTGTGGAAAATTTTCTTTCGGAATATTTTTCAGTTTGAAAATGCAAACTGCAGGAAGTTTCGTACCGTCAGCCATACATGCAAGTATAACTGTAAATGATGATCGTTCATGACCAGTTGTACGAATACTTACCGTTTTTGCTCCTTTTTGGTTTATAGTTGTATTACTCGGCAAATCAAACCACATGGGCATTTCATCCATATTGCCTATATATTTTAGTTCATATTTATTATGAATTCTTAGGTACATAATATAACTCAAAAAAATATTTTGCTTTTCAATTAAATCTGATGGCAGTTGCTGTGCTACTGTTGTTCTACGACGCTCACTAAGGTCATATCTTCCTAGAAATCCTTCAAGCCACTTATTAGAAAATTTGAACCCAGCAATACCCGGATTATTTGCTAATAATTCTGGACTTTTGGATAAGGAAATGGCTTTATTGGTAATTAATTTTCGAGTAACGGCATTTCTATTGGCTCTTTTTTCACTTATCTATGCAAATAAATCATCTTCTAATTTCGGATATCTGGCAGGTTTACCTTGATGAAGTTTAGCCACATGAGGAGCAGTCG